AAAAAAAAAAAGTAATCTTAGTGAGGAAAAAAACGTTGAAAAGTTACTTTGGTTCATGAAGCTCCATTTCTATTGACAAATTTTTTGAAAAATTTTACAATTGGCTGTGAGCTCTGAACAGTCACCTTTCTTTGCTTGCTTAGTCGACTTTCTGAGACTAAACTAAGCTTAACTAAATTCTGATTAACGATGATTTTCAATACATTCTGAAGTGAATTTTTCTTTTAGTGGAAAAAAGTAGTGTTAATGGTTAAATCTCTTATGTTTGCTCGTGAGATAAAAGAAAAAACATAATTTAAGGATTTACTGGGGAATGATACAGCCAAAAGTACGTGCCCTTATAGTTGCGGGATCACAACCGATCAAATCACTGTAATGTCATAGCTTCTTTTAACATTGCAAATAACCCATTTAATCAAAAAAGATTATTGAACTAAAGACCTTATAACTGGCTGACTGATAGCTGCAAATTTTAATAAACTGAATAGATTCTAAAGAATCTCTTTCGCAACGAATAGCCACTAGGTGAGACTGCAGAAGTGCTCCATAACTGTTCAGATTCACATCACAACCGTTTCACCAAAGTAAAAGTAAAATGATAACAGAAATAAACTTCGTTACCAATAAAAAACATGCTTCCGAAACTTTCTTCAACCACTGGTATCTTTTAGCTAAGGGTTTTACACCTGACGCATGCTTAGAAGTCAGATTTTAATGAATAATTCTCGACTCCGTCCGCTCCTTCCTACCACCACATGAACAGTTCTCCACATTCATTTTAGCCTCTCTTTCAACTTTAAAGCAGTTTTTACTTCTAACTACCAAGTTATTTGCGACCTTAAAAGAACTTAAAATCCAATAGATATCTGAAACGAAACTTGTAAAAGTAAGAAAACAGTTACCTAATCAACCAATCAGTGACAGCCTGTTATCCAAGCACCAGTAGGTTCCCACAAACACAAAATAAAATCACCAGAGGCCGAAGGTAACAATTCCGGATGTGAGCCTTTGGTAGCCACCTGCACCAGCCCTTTCAGCTTCTCTCGGTGAACCTCCTTTTTTTTTTTTCTGAGAAAAAACTTTGTCATCACCCTTTACCAGACTGCCTGATAAAAGACGACGTGTCAGACGTGCGATAAGTTTTAGAAAGCATTACTGTGATGCAAAAGCCTTCAACTCTTCAAAGTCGACCAGATAAAGTATCAAGAGCAAATATTATTACGTTAGTAAACCACTTGAAAATCCATTTATTTTTATGGAAGAAGACCATTTCCCAATTTCTTTACAAACCTACTACTATTCGCCAGTGACTGTTTCTCAAACAAAGTATAATACCAAACAAAGTACGATTTTCCATTGTCTCTTAGCAAACTCTTACTTGTGACGCTACATTCTCAAAAATCATAGATCGATGCAGAATTAAAACGAGCCCCCGACTCTAACAAACTAAATTACATTTTTATGCTAAAAAAGAGCTAACCGCTGCGAAAATTAATGAAAAGAGAATTGTGCATGTATTAGCCTATAGATCTTGAAGTGAGATTCTGCAAACAGCTGCTGTTCAAAGTAACTTTTTTGAACAAATTGTTTGCTAATCTAGAAATAACCATTTTAATCTAAAAGTACTTTATTTTTTGAAAGTCATATTTAAAAACAAAAAAAGGCAATGAGCGGTTTCTGGTTAAACAACAACTGCTGCTTGGGATTTATGTCAAACCGATTAAGACAGACAGGAACTGTATGACTAGGTGTGAACTTTGTAAACTAAACAACAAAGATGAACAATACGGTAGTAAAGCAGCTTTTACAACAGTTTTAGAGCGAAATACTATACTTATGCGTAAGCCCATTATTGAATAATTCCTTGCCTTCAAAATTAACTGAAAACGCAACAAAAATACACCTCCTTAAAAAAGATTAACAAATAAATTTACTGACAAGCTTTTATAAACAATACATAACAACCCTCTACAATCATTTCTTAATGAAGATGATCAAAGTAATAAAAGCGAAAAAAATTCAAAATTGTGAGGTCAAATCTACATAATTTGTAATAGATCAAACTTCAGTTACTTTTCAAAAAACTTTGCAAATTTAACCAAATTCTAAACTCAAAGATTAAAAAATACTGAATGAAAATTGGTTGCGTAAATAAGAACTTGATTAGGGGATATTTTTGATTTTCAGAACTGCTCACAAAATCAGATAATCCCTACAAAATAAAGTGAGATCACCTGACATTAAAAGTAATTTCACGAAATATTCTGGGAATATTTAAACAAAATAACAGAGCCAAAAAGACGGACAGCATAAAAGCTAATGTCCCCTGAGATACTAATATAAACTATAAACCTTCATCTGGATGTTCTACTTTATAGAGATAGTTCTGTAGCCTGTTCACAAATTTATCATTTCTATTCAAGAGATCCTGGATTCCATTAATTAACTGTTTTCGCTTCTCACGGTTCCTTTGAGCCTAAATTAATTGTAAGCAGAGAATCCTCCTCGAAATGAAATATTTTTCAACAGTTCTTGACAATCACAAAAAATGTTCCTTTAACAACGCAAAGCAACAATTTCAAACAAATAAAAATGGCGTTGATTCCCACCTGTTCTTCAGATGTGTTATCTGAAACAATTTGTAAACCGTCAATAAATTCTAACTCTTTTAAACAATCTTCTGTAAACTGGTTCAGCCTTCGTTCCATTTTCTTAATTGCTTCCATCCGTAGCGGCCCTAAACACCACTTCTAGAAACTGCTGGATATTCTAAAACTTTTCTGTCAGAAAAAAAAAAATCAATTTCCAAGAAATTCAAGCAAATAAAAAACTGTACGTACAGAAATTTTTTGAATTTCTAAAATTTGCTAGAGCAGATCGAGAAAAAAAGGCAACAGTCAACCAAGAAAATTCAACAAATGCAAACCTTCCAAAAAATTCTGTTCCAAAGCTGCTAGATCTTCCTCATTTTTATCATACTTCTTGCCAATGACAGGCGTGTTTTTTTTCTCATACTCAACCAGTTTCTGAAAAAAATTTAAAAATATGATTTACAGAATAAAAAGCAGCGCTAACAAAAAAGTAATCCAACCTTCCATCCTCCATCCTCCTGAGACGCTGAAGGCTTGCCCATTACTAAGATTTTGTCATTTTTCTTAAAGTTAAATTTTTCGAGAGAATCATCATCTTCACCAACTAAAGTACGACCTAAAAAAAATAGCAATTTCAATAGTGCACCAAGGAAGGATTAAAATCAATTACTTTATGTGTCCTCAACTTCAGGTCAAAATGAAGACTCTCTTTCTGACCTCCCAAAACGTCATCCAAATCTAGTCAGATCTGGATTTGAAATTCGAAAAAAGTCCAGAAAATCAAATTAGTCGCCAAGTTAAGCTCGGCAAAAAAAACATTTTTTGATTCTACTAAGACTTCTCTGAGAGTTCGCAACTTTTTTCTCTTTTGTGAAACCTGACAATATTATTTTCTTTCCAAATTTAATGACATTAATTCTGAAAAAACTACATATTATAAACACTTTAAAAAATTCCTAAACCTATTAAGATACAAAATTCACAAATGAAACACCAAAAAGAAAAAAAAATGCACTTTCAAACTTTTTTTAGAATATGCCTCGCAAGAACCTTTTTGCTCTAAAAAAGCAGAACAATTTCCACAGTCGGATACCCACTAAAGTTTGCTAAAGCAAGACTGGGTAAAGAAGCGGCTTACATTTCGCTAAAAATCCGCAGATGAGTCAGTTTTTTAAATCAAAACTTTAGTGCAATGTACAAACATTTCGATCCGCAAAGATACTATGCTGGAACGAGATTAACTGCGTTTTTGACAGCCATTACTTCAAAAAGTCTACGCAGAAAAATGTGGGCAGTGTAATAACACCAATTTAAGGAAGAGAAAAAATTAAATCTTATGTGCCTAAAGGACTGCTAACTGCTCTTAACATGAGGGTTTTATAAGCAGTTGATAGTCATAAGTTTGGAACGAAACAATAAAAAAAATCCCGCAAAATCAGCACCATGTGATTGAGGAAAGATAATCCAATTTAGATATGGAGTTTGAAAGTAATACTGAAGCAAAGTTTGGTCGGTAAGAATGACCTACAGATACAGATGTCAAGTCCAAAGCACTGCGTCCGCCCAGGCAAAGATTAGTGCATAAAATGAGAAATGAAAAAATAATGTAAATATACTTCAAAAGACATCATCTACAGATTAGTGAGACGAAAAGTTTCCAAAAGTGAAACTTACCTAAAACAGTAGTAAAAGAGAAAACGCAACATCTAAAACAATGCGGTGACCCATCAAAAGAAGTAAAAAGAGATCAATTTCGGACCGTCTGGTAGACGTAATTCAGAAATGGCTTATACGCTTTAGCTCTAAATGCTAATTTTCACTCCACGATAAATTTTTAAAATTTTTTACTTCTGCCTTACCAAGTTCAATTGCTGGAAACAACCTGATGACGCTTTAGCGATTTTTTAAAGAAATTATCCACACCAATCCCAAAACAAACAGCCATGCTTAAATCCTACGCAAAAAAAGTAGAAGAAGTAAAATCAAAAATAGCTGTCAAAAAGCAACCACAGTTGTTACAAAGCAACATCGAATTTTTCACCGCAAAGACGGCCATAGGAAAACTAACAAAACGCTTACATGGTGCCAAATCCCCACTGTCCACCAAACCTCCCCCCTTTTTATAACCACCTCTTTCGCCTACTGAATGATTTTGCGAAAATGTAGCAACACAAAATCTCCAATCAGATGGAGAACATCTTTTGCACACAAGCATTTTTTGAAAACTGAACCTAATCACTACTGTCCCGCTGGCGACTTAGCGAGCATCTTAACGGTTTTCAGTCTAATACATAAAGCTGCTTCTAACTAAAGCTAAAAATTTCAGTATTATTTGCTTTAAACCATATTTAATTCCACCCCAACCTAACCAATAATGATTTGACTGCAAATTAAAGGTCCTGCACATTTATCGGCTTTAGATTCTAGTCCCACTTCAAAGTGTTCTTGTTCCGTGAGGCGGGAAATTCCACAAAAAGTACGATTTAAAAAGAAAAAGTACCGTTATAGTTCATTTGTAAAATCCATACAGTATCTTCGCAAATTCCAAAACTTTTGTAAGGGTAAAAGTGTGTATTATTCTGAAATCATGGGTCAGAAGCGTTCTAGTAAATGAAAAACAACTGATTAGGCAGACAACGAATGAAATTAAAAGCTTTTGATGAAACCCTGGATGCGCGAAAAAACCTGGGAGAGTTCTAAATTCTGTCAAGGAATTTGATCTTTTTAAATATTAATCTTCCCTACGAAAAAAAGGGCGAAAAGAGAATAAGTAAGAGTTAGAACAGGGCCGTAGTCATATGAAGCGTCAGACTTCTCACAATTTTTTCCTAACATTTGGATCAATGACAAAAAAATTTCAGTATCAGGTTCATCCCATTATAAAAAATACCTTTTCTTTCAAGCGCCAATGTCGTTTAAAAGTTTACATCATAATATTTCACATTATAGGAGATAACTTCCTCAAATAAAGCCTTTCTGCACTCACTTGATATCAAATCAAAAAAGCTAACTATCCAACAAATGTTTTACACTCTTGCTAATTTTTACTTTCCCCCTTATGCACTCCATTTTTTGGAAACATTGCTAACCAATATCATGTCTATCGCAACAACACATCTCGCAACCTTATCAACCAAGTCTTTACTCATCTTTTTCTAAACTAGGCGTTCCAACTCGTTTTTCCCAGCACATAATTAGTCCGGAGATCAATCATTATTTTCAACAATGAAATATATACAACTTTCAGTGGAAGTTAGTTCAGAAAACTCGACGTT